CGCCGTTGTGGATTGGTGGATGCAGGTACAACCGCACATGAAACCCGTTGTCGTTCCCTCCAGTCATCAAGTCGCTCCTCTTCGCTCCTCAGTGGCCGCGGCACTGCATGTGCACAGTCAGCTCAAGCCTAAGGCATGGTGAGATGTGCAGACTCCCAGAGGCTTTTTCAGGCTTTGGCTCTGTCGCTGTGTTACCAACTTTCCCCATTCTTGGCAGAACGAAACAGAAGCAGCATCGCCCCAGCGCTGTTTGCTGCGCTTGAAGGCATTCCCACACCCTCATCGATAGGCAGTGCGTCAATCGCTTATGCTCACTGCTCAGCTGCCTTTTAGTGCCCCATCCAGTGTACCTGCTCTATTTTAGAATGCCCCAGTCACTTGCAGCATCTGCATTTGCGTCGCTTGTGTTTGCCGAGAAAGGGGGTGCCGAGAGGCGCATCGGGCGTTTAAGAGCGACTTTAGGTTATTCTCCGCTTCTCGTGAGTCCCGTTTCTAGCCTGGCACCTGTCTCACCACATCCGTTTTCAAAAAACAAAAAAAAAAAGGTTCGCGACCACCATTACGAATCAGGATCTTGTCTCAACAATGGTCAAACATCAACATTTCTAGGTTTCCTGCGCAAGCAAAACAAGTCACGACGACATCGTGGACTCATTTTGCCCTCGCCGCCACTGCTTTTCACAGTCTTGGCCCTACGGCCCAGATTATCCGGGAAATTGAGGGGTGGCCTTGCTCGTCATATTTCCATCCCTTGTCGACTGCTCATCTTATGGATGGTTGGTCTTAACACAGACCCTGTACAGGTACCTGCCTTCTACTGCGTGTCGATCACTTCGATGGGTGGCACATCAGCCACAAAGTTGCATTTGAGCCGAAGGCCCTGTCTCGCTTGATCTTACGCTCGAAGCCTTCAGCCAGCAGTCCTCTCACTGCTCACAGCTTAAGCCACCCTGCAGAGCCTATTCTTGAAGACATCGGCATGGACACACCGTTGGCCCGTTTCTTCTCCGCAAAAGCCATCAATGAAGTATGTTCTTCAGCCTTCTCAGATGCGCGATCCTTCAGAAGCTGCAGAGCCTATGATTACTGGTAACCGACAAGCAGGAATCCTCATCCCTACGGACAACCAGATTCCGAACCTTCACATCACCATAAAATGCTGCGCCATTTTAGGGCAGCGAGGTTCCTCCCGTCCGGCACTCGCTGGCTAATTATTGTCAGAAAATTGTGGGATGCTGAGATTGAGAGCAATTTACATCTGTGGCTGTCAAACTTACGTGCCTGGTTATGAATCTACAGAGGCTTTCAACATGGCATTGTATTGGTGAATTTTCTCCGAAGACGATCCTTTGAATCTTTGCTCTAAGTTGACGATTGACTATTCTGGATTATGAAACTCAGACTTAACGTCATCCTATCGAAGATCTTCCAACAACGTGGCCTTCTCTGCAATCTCGGAACACAGTTCATCCCGGGCGATTAAAAACAACCCTCAGCGCGCAGTTCATCATGCTATGATTTGTTATCCAGTTATAATCGAGGGTCTGTGGTTTCGATGCAGAGTCCGAAAAATAGGGTTTGATATCGCGATATCTCATTGCGTGTGGTTGTGGCTCGATAAACGAACGGCCATTATTCGCTGATGTCCGCCTCGTATCTCCCCATATGCCCGTCTATGCTGTCAGTCGTGGCGTAGAGCGGTCTCGCGGTACTTTCCTCCGCCTAAGACGATGGAAGAACGAGAAATGCATCCTTTTGTTCATACGAAATGATCCAGCCGAAGACGGCTATTGGAGTGCTTCGTCAAAACTTTCTAGAAGCGGTGTGTAACGGGCCTTTTCTACCCACTACCGCCAGTGTAGGTGCACAGAACAAGATGATAAGTCAAGAGTAGTTCTTGGCTCCAGGAAATCGCGCTACGTGGGGCAGTTTGTTGTCAAAAGTTGCAAGTGCCGGTGGCACTGCTAGCGTACTCCGTATGATGATTTGCTTTAGTCTCAATTGTTTCGCGGGAGTTTTTTCCGCTGTCAAATTAGAGCGAAGGATAGAGACAATGATAGAAAGTAGGCGACCTGACGCCGTCGTGGAGTTGTTTGGTCGTGTTGGGAATACTGCAGAAACAAACACTGAAGCGAGCCCAATCATCACTTCATTATTGCACCACTATCGCATTATTTTACGTATCCTACCAAATGAGGTCCAACAAGTTTCCATCGGACTTAAACATTTCTAGTAAACAAACGTTCGACGAAAGTTGTCACATCCCAATTCAGCCAAATTTGACCCCCACAAGGGGCGGCTAAGCTCAATCAACATCAAACTCACCATTCCTACACCGCATCCCTTCCTCTGATTTTCACAGCGAGAGCACATGGACAATATGAACCTGCATCCAGCCTCAAAGAATCTCGTGGGTAGTTAGTTACATCATGATCGGCCCTTTATGCGGCTCGCATCCCTTTACGTTCTTTCCCCTGGCGTGACAAATTGAGGCGAGACGGCCGGAACGTTCATGAAGCCGTCATATCTACAACACAATCATTCATTCTTCAGCGTCGGGATCAATATACTTGACTCTCGGCACGATTTATCGAGTAATTAATCAAATTCAGTAATCGTGCCAGTCGCGCGGCATCAACACCAGGACATCTCGCCGATACTCCCATGATACTCCATCCGAAGCCCCGCTCATCTATCCCCCACAAACCTAACAATCTACACAGATGAGCAGAAACCCAAGCCAACGTTAAGCATTGCACGGAGCACAACTCTAGCACCATTCCGTTCATGTTTACTCTATCTGCCTTGCCAGTGTATCTCTGACGACCCAGTCCGCTGGATCTGATCTCCCCGGATCTGCATTGCACTCACGAACGTGCCTTACTTCGTGCTTGGTTCTCATTCACAACCGTGCCATACCCAACCCGAGCCTTGCCCCTAACTGCCGCTCTCCAAACCCTCCAAGTGACTCCCAGATCTCCCCCACTAACAGGTTCCCCTGGTACAATCAAGCTTAAAAACACTATCCAGTATCAGGCGAGCGGCTCGCCCTCCGGCGCGCTCCCCGCGCCCGTTTTCGTTACGAGAACATCATGGGCCTGACCGCTGGAACCAGCGACTCATGTGTGTAATATGATAGGTACTCGAGACTGTGACTGGGACTCGCGGGGAGTCGAAAAAGCTTTTCGTTCCCCGCTTTCACTTCCGTGGGTGCTTGTCTTGTCCTGCATTACACCTAGACGGTAGACCTGATTGTGACCCCTCTACCTCTACCCCTTGCTGTGAAGTGCTCGTCATGCCTCTTTGGGGAATTCCCCTTCTGGCCGGGAAGGAAGTGTGTGGTGGATTGCAGGTTCGCGGGGAGTCAGAGTCACAACACGCGCTCGCGGAGTTCGCGGAGTCACAACATGGACTGTACATGGAAGAGATGTTGATTGTGATGGATGCATAGAGACGGCATAGCATGATATTGGCGGCGGAGTCAGGAACATGCACGGGTTGCGAAAAACGGGCGAGGATGGGAATGGTGAGGGTGGTTGGGATGTGCTTACTCTGAGGTGAGGAGGTGAGGTGGTGAGGCATATTGCGATCGGGTCATGCTGGGGCCGAGAACTTCTTGATGTTGTGAGTGATAGTGGGTGGAGAGGGGAGCTGAAGGAGCGCGCAAGGTGAGCAAAGTTGTGTTCCCCCAAGAACGCGCTGACAGGAGCGACGCATCGCATTGTGTTGTAGTGTTGTGGGTCAGGTTGGCCGAGTGAGCTAACAGTTAGTTCGAGGATCAATAAACCCCTATTCCAAGTCGAAGATGGGAAGGGAGATAGATGAGATTCTCATTCAGGTTTGAGCCAAGGAGTCTTCTTTCTTCTGTTGGTGACTTGTTGTATTAAACTAATAGACTTGTGGTTCGTGGAGAAATCTAGAGAATATATGTGTTGGCCGATCGATATTGAAAGGCAGGCACGAGCGAATTGGAAAGGAAAGGCGAAAGTGATGAATATATTTCTTCTGCAAACACATTAATGATGATCTCACCTCCACGAGCGACCATATTAACGCTGTAGTTCCCACCTGTGAACTTCCGTAGAACTTTGAATCTTGTTTGTTTACTTTTTCGCGCCCGCAGATCGAACCCCCGAGCGAAAAGTTGAAAAATTGGGCATTTGGTACATATTTTCGCCCAGATAACAGGCCCTGAGGCTCCAACAACAATTCTAGTACGAGTAACTCGATGGGAATTAGACAGAAACCGTTTTCTGGAGGTTCTACGGTCGCTATCGTCGTCTTGGAGGCCTATCGCGAGAATCGTTCACGAGAGGCAACGGGAAAGGGGCAACCTTAACGCAGACATCGGCACTCAACAACACCACGCGGTATGATAACTGCTAACAAATACTACAGAACAGTTGACTTCATGCAAGCTTCTTTCCACTGAACAAATCATACCTCTCCTTTCCTCGTATAGCGAATGCCGTCGAAGTCTCAAGCCACATCACACCTCTGCCGTCATCGAGCAACCATGTCCCAACCTTCACTTCACTTGGATCTCAACCTTCACCACAACTAGCTGGGGACTCAATACATATTCAATGAGGGACTTTCTACAACCAAATAAAGGCTCTATGGTGCAACGGTGACATCTACATTCTCATCGTGGGGGATCTAAGACGTAGGTTCGACTCCTGGTCGAGCACCTTAGCAGGGGAGCACGCCACGGTGGACACCTCGCTTTCAACTTTGACAAAGACCACCGCGGGCCTGAACCTGCTATCTACTTTGTATCTTGAAATACTTCTCCTTCATTCTTCCTTCAATACGGAATAAGTTAGTGTTGGGCTGGAGACCAAGAAGGCACGCTAAGCGAGCACGATCGTACCTTCCCTTCTATCGATTGAATTCTCACCTTCCACGAACGGCAATCTCCCGATCCCCAGCGACTACTGTCGCAAGCGCGATTCCCTTCATATTCTGAGTTAAGCACTCCTTACAACAAACATAACCAAGGCTCTGTGGTGCAATTGGAAGCATATACATTCTCACCATAGAGAATCTCAGTAAGATGTGGGTTCGAATCCCGCCGGAGCTCATTGAGCAGGCCGAACCTACGTAGTGATGCTCGTAGGTTCGCGCCTGCTCAACCTTTTCTTCTTTTTTTCTTTGATGAGATTGTGATTCAACAGCTTCGGAGCTCTAGAAGGTAGCTTTCAAAAAGAAATTCAACGCCTCTACATGGTGAGTCAGCCTTGCTCACGTCAACCGCGCCTTCCTTATTTAAAATTATAGCTTTTCTCTGCTTAATATGCTCTTTCTCAATTTAATCAAAGTGTTCTTGTGTTGAACAACCCACACGCGTTCCGTCGTTGAACTACGAATGTCTTCGGAGTGTCAGGCCACATTACGCCTCAACCATCTGCGAGCCACCACCGTCCAACCTTCACCTTGCATCAACCTCAACCTTAGGATGAACCTCCACCACGATCAGTTAGTATAAATGAAGTACGCGTTCGAGGAAAAGCTTAATGTCATAAATATAAGAAAGTCTCTGTGGGTCAAGGTACGTTCTCACTATGGGGAATCCCAGAAGCAGGTTCGATTCCTGCTACAGCACCTTCAGGAGACTAGACATCCTAGACCGAACGCCAGTAGGTGCCTTCCTCTTCAACTGCTTATCCTTTCATAGCCAAAGGCCTCTCGAATATGCCTTCACTCCTTCAGGCCTGTCGTTTGTCAAGTTTTAGCAGTACCTCTGCCTCCTTTCCCTCACTAAGCGAGCCTTCTACCGCGGCTTCCCAATTCACTTCCACAAAACTCAAGCAGAGTGCCTCATATATTCAATTAAGCAATAGCTAGAAACAAACACAACAAAGGTTCTATGGTGCAATTGGAAGCACATACGTTCTCATCGTGGGGAATTTAAGATGTGGGTTCGAGTCCCACTGCAGCTCATTGGGCTGTCAGGTACTACAACGCGCAAGTGGTGTATGTCCTGAGGCCCCTTCTCTCTTTTGCTGCTCTAAGCTAGAGCTTAGTTTGTTGGGGCCTGCGGGATTTTGTTTAACAATATTTTAGGAAGATTCTCGGGGTCTTCTTAAGCGAGGTCTGAAGGAAGAAGATTGGTATTTACTGCCTTCTTCAAATTGAATTTATAGCTTGTCTCATACAGATGAGCTTCAATATTCATTTTGGTATGTCCTTGCGTATCCTACAAACGCCGATGCAATGCAAGTCCATTCGTACAGTCATTCATGCCATATTGATATTACTCCTCATCCTCAAATTCCTCCTCGACAACGACTTCCAAATCTTCCTCGTCACCCTGCCGCATCATGGAGATGGTCTCAAGTTCAGCTTCCGGTAGTCCTCTTTCAGCACGCAATTGCTGGACCTTGGCATTAGTCATTTCGAACACATATTGTCCCAAATGTTCCACATTTTCCATCTGACTTTGTCCTGGCACATCTTGCCCTTCTTCTTCGGAAAGAATCCTCCGGCTAGGCCATAGCTCTCCCGTCACAAGCTGAAGCTTATCAGGCCGCTGGAAAATTATGTCAAACATTTGACGTAGCTCGAAGCAGGACTCAAAGACTTCTCTTCGTCCAAGAACATACAGACCGAGACGAGCTCGAGAAAAACCCACTGTAAGTCGACGTATATCGCGCATGAAACCGACACGGGATGTACGCGTCAGGGATAGGATGACATCTGTACGGGCAAGGGTTAGTGAGATTCTTAGATGGATTGATGAATACGTACAGTCGTTTTGTTCTCCCTGGTATTTGTCGACTGTGGTGACAATCCTAGGAAGACCGAAAAGTGGATTCTTAGCACATCTATGAGCCAAGACATCTGCGATCAGAGCACGTTGGCCAGCATAGGTAGCCAGTATAGATATGCTTGATGCTGGATAACCAAGCAGGCGCATATACTGAAATATCGCTACAGCATACTCTGCTTCTCCGAGATTCTGAATGAAATGAGGCGTGGGCTCTGACTCTCCTTTGCCTTTGTAATCATCCACTTGGATGAATTGGTAATCGTATTTGAAGCCAGCATTGGCAATTTGGAATTCGGGTAAGGATGAGACATGAGGTAAGTTTCCAAGGTTTTGGTAGCGCCACGAGTACAGCTCCGCTATCGACGGTCGAGCTCGACCTTGCTGGTCCAAATTGATTACCGGAACCCCAAGACGAACAAGACGAGAGAATAGAGATTGCTCCAGGTTTGCGTACTGTCGAAATGCGAGGTTTTGAATGACAGGAGAATTTTGGTAATGATCGCCGCAAAGAACCACTCTTTGCAAAGGCATCTCCCCATTCTTTGGGTTTTGCAACGCAAGGGGAATGAAATTATGGATTTCAGTAATTTGAGCCGCTTCTTCCATGACCACGTTGTCGTAGTGGAATCCGAGAGCGGCGATTTCCTGTCTTCTCATCGCGGCGTGAGTAGACGTCATAGCGATAATTCGGGCTTCGTTGGTGAGGAGATAGTTGGATTTATCTCGGTCTCGGCGCAGAATTTCAAATGGGCGGATATCTGCTAATTCTGTAAAAATCTTCGCAACGTGATGGTAAGAGCCATTCGCAATATCTAGGAGCGCTTCCTTATCGGCATCGGGTGGGAAAACTGGTTGAGGTGTGTTCGAGAAATAGGTATGGAAAGGGAAGGCTTCTAGTATAGATTCCCTCGTAGCGTCAGGCGACTTGGCAACCTCCTCGAATCTTGTCCAGGCAGGTTCGACATAGACAGAATTAAAGTACCCAGCTGTTTCGGCAGACGAACCATGATGGCCAGGAGCCCCAAAATTTACGGCCAGCCGATCTACCTCATGGAGATAACCAGCCCGGTTGTCTAGAAAAGACTCCACTCGACCATGCTTGCTGAAGTTGGCTGATGTGTTGAGCTCCTCTTCGCCATGGCCCAGTCGTAGTAAGTGGCGCTCATCAATATCCAAAGCGACGATCTTCTGGAAGAGCTGGTTGAGAGCTTGATTGCTGTGTGCAATCAAAAGAGTTCGTTGATTGGGGAAATTGTGATAAATGTTGTTGATTATTTGAGTCACAACATCAGTCTTTCCCGTGCCAGGTGGTCCAACAATTACAGTCAAGCCTGGTTGTGTGCCAGAAATGATGGCATCAACTTGAGCAGGCGTAAATCGAATATGATTGAGTTTCGGAGCATCCATAGGGTACGGCCCGGTATTGGGAGGTTTGTATGTTGATACCTCTATCGACTGTGATACTACTTGAGGTGCTGGTTCTGCATCTCGTCTTCTCTTTTTGGATGGCTTTGCAGAGGGTGCGTTGACAGTCTGAGATACAGATTGGAGAACGTATGGTGGCCCAAAGCTGCCATTTACCTCGTCGCCTGGCTCAACAGTCTTTCCAGGCAAACTTTCAACGAGATGCTGCCAATCCAAGAATGTGTCCCGATAATCAACCTTCTTGATTCGATTTGATAAGTGTGTATATGTTGCCCCAGCAGGGTCACCATAACCTAAGAATACCTCATGCAGCCAGGAGGCCAGAGGTACATCAGACAAGGTCAGACTCCGAATTGATTCAAGAATAGGCTTGAAGTTATTTTCTTGGTTTCTGCGGCGGACAATCAAGTTGATGCTCTCGTAGACATTCGGTTTCCCTCGAGCTTCCCGCTCCTTGTCCTCCTTATACATGGCGGCATCAAGGTTAACTTTCAAGGTCCGAGTTCGTCCGCTCCGCGCGTAGTTACCTTGATCCCTGATTGGCCTGCCTTGGTCATCCAACACTTGAGTAACCTCAGCTGCTCGAAGGTACTTCAGGCCAATACGCTGTGCATCGGAAGGCGTAGCGCCTCCATTGGTGATCATTTTCGAATCATCTAGAGCTTGAACTGCTAATAGGAAGACAACATCGTCTGGCCGAAAGTCCTCCCATTCTTGTCGAATCTTCTCGGACAAGTTACTAACATCTATACGAATCTCAGCATGGACCGCCGAAGGCTTGACGTCCCCAACTAAGGCTGGGACGACCTCCATTATGCTGTGAAGAAGTTAGAGATTAAAGAGTTTGTCTAATTGATCAAGGTTGACTTACGCTGGTTTTGTGATAGGCATGGCCATTCTGAAGAATCCATTGAAAGTTGTTTGGCCATTTCGACCGATCGAGGGCTGCAATCGTTTGATAGCTCCCTCGACGTGTTTCCTAATTTCATAAAATGTTTCGCATCTGTGGAGAATGAAAGATCTCCACAGGAAATCGCCAACCGTCAGATATTGCAAATTGAGCTTAGGTATCGCAAGTGGTCGCGATCCGTCATAAATGTCATTTCTCAACAGCGTAGGTTCGAAGAGGGTAAGTTCTGTTGGCAATACGCTCAGATCGCGTGCTGTCTCTTGAAATGTTCTCCTCTTTTCATGGTAGGAGACGAGAATCTCCGTGAGAAAGTGTCGATCCGTGACCACGCTTGTTGAGGTTGGGTATGAGGTGCGAAGATCGAGCAGGTTGCAGAGCTGAGTGATCTCATCATCCGTGAGAGCCTTGAGATGATCTTCCAACTCCGCCCGCTTGTCGATTGACCCATAATTCGACAACGCAAGGACAGTTAACTTGTCCTTGAAGTATTTCAGAGCAGTTCGTTGCAAATTTGCGAGTGTCGCGCAGTGGCGTTCATAGGCTTCGGTTTGAGTGTGTTGAATACCAGTGTAATCATCAATAGAGAAATAAGTGTAATGCTTCAGTAGAGCATACAAGTCCCTTACTAGGCCATTATCTTCGTCGTTGAAGGATGGGGATAGACGAATCACTGGGAGAGTATTCAAGTCCTGCAAAAGCGTGTTGACGTATCGCCGAGTTGGGAGCTGGCTCTGTAAGTCTGACAAGAATTCGAGGAATCTTTCGCAGTAGAGGATATTTTCTGTCTTGATAAGCGGTTGCATCGTTGGGAGTCAGATTTCAAGCATACCTGCTTTGCTCTTCTCGTTGTATAGTTGGTTGAAGAAGTCTAGGATGAGAGTAAACAGCCAGGAACGCTCGAAGCGTAGTCGAGCCTTGACCGTATCATCAGCCGCATCGTAGCGTTTTGCAGCAGCCCTCCACGCCTTCCGTAATTGCACACTTTGGTCCAGCTTTCGCTCACGCTTCTGCTCCGTTGAAAAGTTGTGCCAAATAGATATGGACACCAATGGAGCACACTCCTTCCGCACAATACCACTATCCAGGGACTGAAACGCGTTAATTATGAACGAAATAAGGTGAGTTCGTATTGTAGGAGAAAGGGTTGTGTTCAATGTCATTGAGAGGATGCGCCGAAACACGCTCGAGAATTCCGTCGGGTTGTCCGTAAATAGGTCTATAACAATCAGCGCCAGTTCCTACAAACTCCCCAAGAGTGCTTACCCCATGTTGGCAGATGCTCTCGAGTCTTGATATTCGAAATTAGGACAATAAGAATGACCTGTGTATCGGAGGAGTCCTCATTGTATCCTGGCCAAAGGTAGCTATAGAACTAATTAGTAACAGCTTCCAAGGTGGAATTACTGTCATACTTCTCCAAAATCTGCAGATTTTCCAATGCCAGTAGAGATTTGAATGTGAAGCCCTCTTGTTCCAATACATCCCAAATTTCGTTCTTCAGCACATCCGGCTTGACCTTGACCTTGGTCGTCTTCTTCGAAGGCTTCAACCAGTACTTTTGGGCAAGTTGCGCAAATGCGCTGTTGCCTTGCAAATCTGCCACTGTAGGCCTTGGCTCATCGACTTGCTGGTGCGCATCCCCTTTCACTCTCGTTCTGGGCGCCATTGTCGATGTGAATGATTCCAAAGACCTGCCCGGCGCGGTCTGTTGTGCCAAAATTATTTCATACTGCGCATCTGCAGCTCTACGCGACAACAAGCTAAAATTTCGCGAAGGGCGACTGAGCTTGCAAGGCACGCGAGGCTTTGTCCTGCAGACAATACCGCATCCGCAA